CGCGACGCTGCTAGGAGAATGCCCGCTCTGCTGCTCGAATCACAGGCCGACTTGCGCGAGATCAACGGCACCGACCGCGGTGGCAGGGTCGTCCATAAGCGGGCGGGCAATAAGCTCGGGTGCGTCCTGCGATAAGTCTCGGCGTCACTCCCCTCTCTCTTCTAACCACCACCAAGCAGTCTCTACCAGCTCCTCTGCTCCCTCGAATACCACTCGCTGCCCCCGACCCAGTGTGCCAGGCGCAAGACTCACGAAAAGCACGCTTCTCCCTCGCGCCCGCGCGTTCTCGCCCCGTCCGAGCGCACCAGCTCCTCCTCAATCACATCCAGTACGCGTCCCCAACCACCCCAACCACGACCACAAGCCTCCTCGTCTATGACGCAGCCGGAGCAGGAGCCCCCGCTCGTATGGGACTGGGACGTCGAGCATGAGGACCGAAAGGCCGAGGCAAAGGCCGACGCCGCCGTCCATGGCGCGCTGCCCTTCCAGGTCGACCGCAAGCTCCTGAAAGACATCGTCCACGAGCGCATGGGTGCCGAAGTCGCACGTATCAAATTCCTCGGTGCAGGTCCGTCCAACTCAATCTTGTCCATCTCTCGCCAGATCCCCATCTCACCCCCTTCGCTCCTGCAGGTACTTTCCATAAAGTGAGTCTCGCTGCCTCTCCCCCCGCCGCTCCCCCCTGCGTTGTCTGTGTGGTCTCCATGCCCTCCTGCGTTATCGCCCGTCGCTGGGTTCCATGCACGTTGCGGGGATGTCCCGCGCGAAGCTATCGACCGATGCGCTTCATCTCCGTTGGGAAGTTACGAGGACTGTCTGGGTGCGCGTACTTTGCCGACCGCGTAGTTGGAGTACCATTACACCGGGCAATGCTCCGGTGCATCTTGGCGTCTTCTCCCGGCGTACTTGGCGCAACTTTGCATAGACGACAAACGCGCCGTCGCCAGAACTGGTGCGCAGCACATCTCGCGATGTCTTCACTCACCATGGCCAAGCATGCCAGTCGCGCTGAGGCGATGAGAGCCATCATGTCTCAGGCGCGTCGCAAGTGTCGTTCTATGGATGTGTGGCGCGAATCTGCTCATTGCGGGCGAAAATGACGGCAGAGACGCCGCCATCGTATCGCGCAGTCGGTCTCACCCGTCTAACGTCACATTCTGTGGGACAACATTGGTTGCGCGAGCGGGAAGCTGACCAGGTTACGACAGGGATATCTAGTCACCCTTGTGGACAGACGCGAAGTGGTCGCGCGTGTCGCGCGCCGCTTCATGCCTCGGCTTAAGACCGAATCCGAAGTGGCGACCATGAACTATCTGCGCCAACATACCACAATTCCAGTACCAAATGTCTACCAGTATGACGCCAATCCGTATAACCGGCTAGGCGGAGAGTACATTCTCATGTCAAAGGTAAGTTCCCGGTCAGTGCTTCGCGCTAGATTGGCGGCTGTCGCTCATGCTTAGCATTCAGGCACCTGGTATACCGCTGTCCAAGGTCTTCCATTGCATGCCACACAACCAGCTCATCGCTCTTGTGGAGAACATCGCGATGCTAGTGATCCCACTGTTCGGCCACCGCTTCCCGATGATTGGTTCGTTGTACAACGGCCCCGACCCCAGCGCACACTCTGATGTATCTTCGTCGCTGCCAACGCCCACGCCCTCGACATACCACCGCTATACGAACATCACCGACGCCTTCGACAAGCTGCAGATGCAGCAGGCATGCGGCTCACAGGCATCCGAGATACACGTCGGCCCGATCATCTCGTGGCCGTTCTTTGGCTCGAACCGCGGCGAGCTGACGCACCCCGACGAACTCAACCGCGGGCCCTGGCGCTCGACGCACGAGTACCTCCTGTCGTGCGTCGAGCGCGAGATACAGGGCGTCATCCTCGAGAACGAGGGCAAGGCGGCGCCGCACCGGCTGCACCTCGACCCGGACGAGATCTCGACGTCGCGGCACCACAAGGTGACCGCGCTCCCGGACGACCGCTCGGACGCGTCGGACGAGTGGGACTGGGAGGAGAGCGAGAACGAGTGGGAGGGCCCGGGCGACATTATGTATCAGGACTACCGCCGGATGCAGCGCACGACGTTCCTCGTTGCGCACCTGACTGAGCGCGTGGAGCGCGTCAAGGCCGAGATGGCGCGGTTCCTGCGCATGATGGAGCGTTTGGGCGTCGTTGCGCACACCGAGGGGGATGGGGGTGGCGGCGAGCCGGAGCCCGAGGAGTTCTCGATCGACTGCCACGACCTCAACCTCGAGAACGTGTTCGTCGACGAGAACGACCACTCGAAGATCGTGAGTGCCGCTCTTCGCTCTTTCGCGCTTTGCACCGCAGCCGCTGACCATATACACGCCAGACATGCATCATCGACTGGGAGTCGACGACGACGCGCCCGCTCTGGCAGTGCGCGCACGTCCCGGCCTTCCTGCAGAACTCGCCCTTCACGGCGAAGCTCTTCCGCGCGACGGTCGAGAAGCTCGCGCGCGCGCCGCCCGTGCCGACGGTCCCGATCCACGGGAAGCCCGTCGAGCTCGCCGCGCTCGCGTCCTCGTGGCTGCACCACGAGGCGGCGGGCGCGCGCCTGCGCATGGCGCACCGGTGCATCGAGTGGGACGGGTGGGAGGAGGGGCTCGTGGACTCGATGCTCGGCCCGGAGGAGCAGGAGGAGGACTGGTTCAAGGAGTGGCAGGACGACTACGCCGAGCCGACGAGCCACGACGATCCGGACAGGGACGACGAGGGCCTGTCGGTGAGCAGCGACCCGAGCCCCGAGTCGGACGCGAAGCCGGAGAGCCCGGTTGCGTCGATCAGCCCGACGCTGACGGCGTGGACGAGCGAGAGCGAGGAGGGGATGCTCAGGCGCAAGCTCAGCGGCGCGGGGAACGGGAATGCGAACGGGGCGCCGCCGGCGGTCACGGTCACGGTTCCCAAGGTCGTCGTCGCGGTGGAGAAAGAGCGGGAGAAGCTGCTCAAGGGCACCGGGGACTTCTGCGGGGGCCGGGGGGGCGAGCTGGGCCGCAGGCTCGAGGCGTGGCTGTATGTGAGTGGGGACGAGGACGGGCGGGTGGGGCTTGGGCGGCGGTGGGAGGGCGACGAGGACGACTGAGTCCTGAGGCTCAGTGAGGACTGGGTGTGCGCGGTCTTCCGCTCGCTCCTTCGTCGTTCCGCTCCGTCGCTGCTGGGTTTTTGCTTCTGGGACTCGCTCGCTCGCTCGGCATACCCCTGCATCTGATTCGTTCGGACTCGGACTCGATGTCAACTGTTCGCACTTCCGCTCGCACTTCCACTTCCACGTTTATGTCCATACTTCCATGTCCCCGTTCCGCTCACCAGTCACGATACTAATTATTGCAGTAGAGATTTTGAGGACGCACATAGCAGCCTACCATGGTATGTACTGTAATCCTACGATACTCTTGTGATACTCCCTCGTCGCACATATGTGTAACATCATCATCATCATCATCTTCCTTGTAATTATCGGCTCGTCGGCTCGGCTACTCGCAGCGTATGCATCTCATGTACGATAGCACGTCTTTGGTGCGTCTTGGGTACGCGCGCGCACTGTATATGCAGTATAAATCATTCTTGCACCATGAGTTGGTTTCACCGGACGTTGGGCAGAAGAAATCGCGGGCATCCGATGTATTTGACGTCACAGAAGAAGAGGATACAATTTGAAACTAGAACGATCCACGGCTCGCAGTCTGCCCGCACCCGCTCCGAGGTCGCCCGCTCGTCCGGACATGCGCGGTTACGATGGTGCCTATGGGCCTCCTGCGTCGCTACACGGGCTCATGCGTGCCATACCTTTGCGATGAGCTCAGTAAGACCTGTCACGGGCACGGAGGAGCATGAGCACGCGGGTATATGCGGAGAGAAGCCACACCCCAGAAAAACGCACCGATATCGTTCGTGTTGAACTGGTAGACGCCGACGAGGACACCGACGGTCGTCGCGCGGAGCGTCCAGGTCACGATGCGACCGAGGATGGGGAACTTGCGGGGGTGGAGGTAGTCGACGACGATGCTGTCGAACTGTTGGGTTGCCGGTTAGCTCTGCTGCTGCCATGGGCGCTTGCAATCACATGTGATACATAACGACAGGGTGCGTCGTCGCGTTCCACGTCTTACTGCCGGGCCTCGGGCCCCCCATGGACGCAATGCGAGAAGAAGAGGGAAGGACAAAGATATATAGACGTACGCCGATGTGACTGTGCATGATGAGGCTCACGCCGAGGAGGCCGTCGATGATGGGGTAGTTGGTGCCGCTCGTGACGAAGGAGGCGACGGTGAGGGGGACGAGACCGGCGGAGAGGATGCGCTCGAACGCCCAGTGGTACGAGCCGTGCGTCTTGGAGGGGGGCGGGAAAGGAGTGGGGTCGTTCACGGTTCCCCTGAAGATGGCTGCGAGTCCGCGCGAACTTCAGCAACCAGCACGAAAAACGAGCATACAAGGGAGGTACGCACGGCCACCGGGGACGTATGCAGAGTCCGCCGCTCCCCTTGCTGCGAAATGCATGGTCATGTTAGCATGCATTCGACGTTACCCCGCACGCGAGCAGGTACATGGCGACACGCATCGTATCGAATGAGCGGCAGACGACGGACCTTGCACAGCGAGCGGGCGCAGCGACCTGCGCGCAAGAGCGGCGGCGACGTTCCTGTTGAGTGCGGAGCGGGCGACGAGGGAGGAGGACATGGCGGACGTTGTGAACGGAGGCAGGCGTAGGGGACCGCACTTGGTTGTGGAGGGCTTCGGGCTGCGTGCAATCAGCCCGTCCCGATTGGCCCGTCGGCATCTTCCATCCGCCTCCGCCTTCGGCCGTCCATCCCGTCCGTTCTGGACCTCAACCTGCTTTGCTCTGAACTGAGTCTTACTACAATCACCTTGGCTGACCTTGGATCCGAGCGCAGCTGCGTAATATACCAAAATGTAAAGCCACCTATCATGATCAACACATGCCAAAAGCAAAGCGAGATGTGTATACTGGACATTCAGAGGATTGAACTCTGGACCTCACGCAAGCACTTAATGCGAAGCGTGCGCGCTACCACTGTGCCAAATGCCCATGATAAATGGGGTCACGTAAATGTCATAGCTCGGAGGTGCTATATGCAGCTGCGAAACCTTGACGCTTCTCGACGTGCAACCTCCTTCTGGACCTCGCGGACGTGGTCTGCATTACGACTCCGAGCCTGCTGGGCCCTGGCCATGGACTCAGCTGCGATATCGCTCCCTCGTGCACCATACCGAGCGACCTTATCACCGTGACGCCACGGAGACGTGATGCTATCATTCAATATCGAAGACACCAGGAAGCACCCAGGAAGGCACACCAACGTGCGCATGCGTTGATGCGGCTCTGACTCCCTGTCCCCGTCGTCCTTTGGCCCTCGACCGCTGCACGACATGGTCCTCCGGCACACCCTTCCCCTACTTGTGTCGCTAGGCCTCGTCGTTGGAGGGACCTACGCGAAGACCAGCTTGGACGGTGTCTACGCGCTCGCACAACGACGCGTCCCAACTCATGCGCACGCGTTCTCGTTCTCCCTCGCAAACGGGGAGGCAGACTCGTTCGTCATATCGGACGTCGTGAGCGGTATACACGTCGAGTGCACGACCGTGTCAGCCTGTGCTCGTGGTTTCTACACGTGAGTGTCCAATAGAGCTCTGGCGATCCGTCGACTATCCTGAACACGACGCAGTTACCTGACGAAGTACGGAGGCGCTGACATATGGTGGACGGGTTCCCGTCTAATGCATCTACCTGCTCACCTGCCAAAAGTTGGAACACCCGTGAAGGGCCAAGCCATTGTTCCTTACAGGTAAGAATCGTTATGTTATTGCACCTCACGTCCCGCCGGTTTCACCTGCATTGGCAGGTACCACTTCAACACGGTCACATTTGACTACACGGCCGCCTTCTGGGACTTCAAGCAGTGGGAACTCGAGCTGGACTGGCTTGCTCTCCGCGGTGTCAACTTGCCCCTCGCCTGGGTTGGTTACGAGTACATCCTTATCGAGACCTTCCGTGAAGTTGGTCTCACTGATGCCGACATCGCGAGCTTCCTCTCCGGCCCCGCCTTCCAGGCCTGGAATCGCTTCGGTAACATCCAGGGCAGCTGGGATGGGGATCTACCAGTCACCTGGGTCAACGACCAGTTTACCCTGCAGAAGCTGATCATCGCTCGCATGACAGAGCTTGGCATGACTCCTGTACTTCCCTCTTTCACGGGATTTGTTCCTCGGGCGTTCGCAACGCTCTACCCCAACGCGTCCATGGTCAACGGTAGCGAATGGTCAGGCTTTCCCGAAGCTCTGACAGAGGACACCTTCCTCGACCCGTCCGACCCTCTCTTCACGATTATGCAGACGTCGTTCATATCCAAGCAGCGTGAGGCCTACGGAGACGTCTCACACATCTACACGCTCGATCAGTACAACGAGAACAACCCGTTCAGCGGAGACCTCGCGTATCTATCGAACGTAACGGCGGGGACCTTCGCCAGCCTGCGCGCCGCGGATCCTAACGCGGTCTGGCTCATGCAGGGCTGGTTGTTCTTCAGCAGCTCGGTGTTCTGGACCAACGAGCGCATCGAGGCGTACCTCGGTGGCGTCCCTGGGAATGACAGCATGATCATCCTGGACCTGTACTCGGAGGCGCAGCCGCAGTGGAACCGCACCTCGTCCTACTTCGGCAAGCAGTGGGTGTGGTGCGAACTGCACGACTATGGCGGCAACATGGGTCTTGAGGGTAACCTGAACGAGTTGACGCACGGACCCCTCACCGCTCTGAGCAGCCCTGTGAGCAGCATGAAGGGTATCGGACTGACACCAGAGGGTCAAGAGGGCAACGAGATCGTGTACGATATCCTCCTTGACCAGGCATGGTCGTCTACCCCTCTGAACATCACAGCCTACGTCGATGGCTGGGTCGCTCGTCGGTACAACGTCAAGCCCCTCCCCAAGGCAGCTCATGACGCCTGGCGGCTGCTCTCCAGCACGGTCTACAGCAATACGGATGCGAGTTCCCAGGCGACCATCAAGAGCATCTATGAGCTTGCGCCTGCGCTGACGGGTCTCACGAACCGTACAGGCCACCATCCCACGCGCATTCCTTATGACACCAACACGACCATCTTGCCCGCGTTGCGTTCGCTCCTCCAGGCAGGAGAGCAACAGCCGCTCCTGAAGTCCAATCCGGAGTTCACGTACGATGTCGTCGATGTTGCCCGCCAGCTGCTTTCAAACCGATTCATCGATCACTACAGCCTCCTCGTGGCGACGTACCTCACTTCCCTCAGTGCGTCAGATGTCAGCGCGGCCGGCCAGACGCTACTCGACTTGCTCACCGACCTCGACGCTTTGCTCGCAACGAACGAAAACTTCCTGCTGAGCAACTGGATCCGCGACGCGCGCTCGTGGGCGCACGGCAAGAACCAGACGGCGTACGCCGCGTACCTCGAGTACAACGCGCGGAACCAGATCACCCTCTGGGGCCCGGACGGGGAGATCAACGACTACGCGTCGAAGGCGTGGGCGGGCCTCGTGGGCACGTACTACAGGCCGCGGTGGGAGGCGTTCGTCGAGTACCTCGCGGAGACGAAGAGGACGGGCGCGGTGTACGACGCGGCGACCGTCAGTGCGCAGATGATTGCGCTCGGGAAGGAATGGAGCAACGGGACGTGGGGCACGGGGAAGGGCGAGACGTGGGGGACCAAGGGCAACACGTGGGATGTGGTCGGGAAGGTGCTCGAGAAGTGGGCGTAGTGATAGGTCTATGGGAGGTTCGTACTCAGTTGCGTCGATGTCGCTGTGTCACTGTCTCCAGTCGGTATGCTGACGCGCCGGCGTACAGGAAGACCGTAACTCTGCTACGTAGATGAACTTCGCGGCTGTTGTACCTCAGAAGATACGGTCCCAGTAATCAAAGTACATCTTCGCGGGTAGCAGGGTTCGCACGAGCATGAGAGCGCCGCTTCCGAAGACTCGCAAGTAAGCGCTCCGCTATCGGATGGCAAGTACTCCGGCTGCTCTTCCATGATACTATCACCGGTTCGACGAGCAGGTGCGGGTATGACACGCGGGGCTATTCCGAGGCTATGTATATGAGCTTTGGCAAAGGTGTGGACCTGAAGGATTGTTCCCGGCGGCATCGCTTACCACCTTTTCCCTTCCAGTGTGTGTCCACAGCCCCGGCTATCCTGATGGTCCTCTTCGACGCGTCAGCGGGGACGGCAGGCTCGAAAGCGGATAGCTATGGCAATTGTGGGTCCGAGCTTTGGTTGTCCATTCTGCTCGTCGATGTCGCTCAAGACTTCCGCTGGTAGTGACCCCAGATTTGGCTTGCGCCGCGACTGCCTTCCTGGTCTGGGACACGTTGATAAATCTTGACGATGAGATGCGCAATTTCATTTGGTCAGAGACGTCTTGGGTTGACCGTACGGACGATTGCTAGGTGGAGTACATCTGGCGGTGATTATGTTCTCTGCTTCGAGGTGACTTGGCACTGACCAAGCGTCACTGGCAGGGCACCAAACAGCTGGGTGAAGTGGGCATACTTCTTCGTTCGACATATACCATATGTGGTACAGTTGTGAGCGGTGGAACCCCATTCATAGGACGATACGTCAAATCTCACTGTCTTCGTGCCAGTTCGATCCTCGTCGGCCTACTCGTCATACCTGCCGAAGGCAACGTATACGAGAAGTTTCAATGCAGAGCGTGGATCGCCTACCAGCTCGCTGCTAACGAAGTGCTCACTGTCGTTGTGGAAGTCATCCTCATTGTCCGCAGTACGTCCATCTCCGCCAGACAGGATTTGGTCTCCGGAGCGCTTACAGAAGACCGTTGCAGTATATGCCATGTACAACCGAAGGTGGATTGTGACCAGAACGGTCTACGTGCTCTTCGTGGCGGAGGTTGTGGCGATGTGCACCATCCTCGCGCTCACTGTTCCGAAGATGGAGTTCACCCAACAGTGCCTCATCACGTCTGCTCCCAAGTTATTCCTCACTTACTGGTGCGAGTCGACGTGTGCCACTCGAACCTTGCCCGACTGCTGACGCCCAAGGCTTACAGGACCATCTCCTTGGCTTTCGAGACGACTCTGTTCCTCCTCACGCTCTACAAGTTTTTCTCGGTCCTGGAGATCACTAAGTTCCATCGACAGCCCATCATGGTCACGCTGGTCCGAGACGGTACATGGGCTTACGCTATAATTTTCGGTAAGTTTCTCGCTCTGCATCGTTGGGCGGCGACGATTCCTGATTTCTACCCACCCAGCTATCATGCTACTCAATACCTTGATGTACGAGTTGGAGAAAAACACGCTCGCAGGTATCTGCTACTTGTGAGTGGCACTGACGTTCGCCGCGGTATCGAGGAAGACTGACCACCTCACGTCGGACAGCTGGGAACTCTCCGTGATGTCGTACGCGGTCAGCATGCCAACGAGTCTTCCTTTCACCTTCTGTGATACTGACCGAACGCACCGACAGGGCTCTCATGTGCTCCTCAACCTGCGACGACTCGCAATGGACCCTCGCCGACATCCGACCATTGTGAGCTACAGCGCCCGATTCAGGTCTGCGGGGGTTACATTCTCCGAGCTTCAATTTGGGAGCTCTGGGGAGGAGACTACTGTCATCGAGTTAGAAACACTGCAGGCGCAACAGCCTGCGGCGGCCCAATAACACATGGTCTTCGTCAGTCACATGGTAGACTGCTGAGTTCGAACCTCGAGGATCCTTCCAATGGCAATGCTGCGTGTCACGGCCGCAGGACTCGCGCAAGATGCCCGCCAATCTCCTGGATCCATCGCGGGCGAAGTCACCAGTTGAGATGGTTTGCGCGCTTGGCATGCCTCTCAAGGGCTCCCGTTCCCGAGCTCGTGGGTAAGGTGGGTGGATCGCTGATCTTCGTCGCGCAGAACTCCCTCATACTCCGCAACGTGTCTTCTGCACACTTGATGGGCAGTCGACTTCGTCAATTGGCTGCGATATCTGCGCCTTACAGCTGGTACGGGTCTTATCGCATTGACGGGCGTGAGTAACGCAGGCGATATAT